TTTTCGATCCAGAAAACCCCACCAACTGCGTTGAAGATGGCTTGAGGTCTTTCACACCCTTCTTCATGCTTTTCAAGGTTGAGAAGATAAGAATGTCGGCTGAGCTCCCATTGTCGATGAGAGTCTTGGTCACTTTGTATTTTACCGTGCGGAAAGATATGACGAGGGGGTCTTCGGACGATTCTGGATTGGCCAACTCCGTTGCTTCGAAAACCACTTCAGCTACTGACGCGGCGGAAACGGTCAAGCACGCTTCCCCTTTATTTGCGACCCGGGGTCGCTTCCTTCCTCCGGCGATGGTGATTATTTCTAAATCTTCATCGTCCAAGCGGGGCTGCCTCCTTGGAGGCGATGCATTGGGAGGCGATGGGAGTCTTTCTCTTTCCCCCCGAGCTCGAGACCTCGACCTCCTGGGGGTCCTAGACCTCCTGCCTCTCGACCTCGAGCGCGGCCTTCTGGGAGACCTACTTCGGTGTCGCTTAATTGACGGCGATCTAGTCGCCCACTCTTGTTTCTTCGCTTCCAGTGTGCTTCTCAAATATCCGGGGTCGAGGTTTGCAATGCTCATCTGGAAATCTCGACAATCCACGGTGTTGTGCGAAGCCTTCTGATGCCACTCACACCACCTTCTAAACACCGGGGCTTCGGGACGCCTTTGAGTATCGTGGCGGGGCCTCTCCTCCCTGTGTTTACGAGACGAAGCGTCCTCCCTATCTCTTTCAGCCGTGTAGACTTCCCTTCTATTTTCCCCCGCTCGTGCTTTCCCCTTGTAGTTATGCCGTTCCGGGGAACGCCCTCTTCGGAATGGGGATCTGTTTCCCCTCTTTGTCTCCCTTTTTACTCCCCGATCTGTTGACAACAACGCCTCTTCCAATGTGATTACTCTCCGCACCAGGTTGTCTAGGTCCGGCCAAGTTTTGATGTCTTGCTCCTTCTTGATCAACGCCCTTTGGAGCTCCTTGCTTTTGGAGGCCATCTTCAGACTTCCCGCGGCCACATTCGGGGTAACGCCCTGTATTTCGCAGGCGATGGTGTTCCATCGGTTGTAGAAGTCCGTCAAGCTTTCCCCATCGCCCTGTGTGCAATTTATCAATGCGATGACGGTGAGGCGTCTGCGAATTTGGGAAGCAAACTTTGATGTGAACAGAGTTGCGAACTACTCGAAGTTGTCTATGATTCCCTCGGAGGAACCGGGTTCCGGAACAATTTCTTTGAGAGGGGATTGTGTAGGAAGCTCGGCCCCTTCGTCTTCCCGCTCCCTTTCCCAAAGCTGGACTGTAGATGTTCTTCTAGGAAACTTAAGTCAGTTTTCGTCCTTTCTTCTTCTTCTGTTTCCTCATCTTCCGAATCAACTTCCACTACTTTCTTCTTTCCCTTATCCCTTGGCGTGGAGGAGGGGCCCGGGGTTTCCTGGCGCCTCATCCCCTCCTTCATTAATGAGAGTATTTGGCTGATACTGCTTCGCATCTGCGTGATTTGCTCCCCCTGACTCTTTACCCTGTCCTCTAGCTCCACTTCTTCTTCGACTTCGGGTGACAAACCACGCAGCGTTATCGGCTCGACGACCTCTTTCATGGGAGTGATGGAATCACCTGACATCTCAAGGAGAACGATACTCTCTTTCGGCCCCACGGTGGGCGCCAAATTGTTTACGCCTAGAAAGTGCCAGGCGGGTATGTGAAGACCTTGGAGAATACCGTTGTTCCTTGATATGAGGGTGCTTCGTTCACTGCAAAAAAGGTCCGGGGCGTGGCCCGCGAACACTCTCCAACGATCAAGTCAGTGTCTAGAGAGAGGAAAAGTAGTGATAGAGAGAGAGAGAATTAGTTACCATTAAATGAGGTGGTTGACTCCTATTTATAGTCTGGAGTAGTTGGTGTAAGTACTTGGTGTCTTGTCAGTCATATGTTTTCCATCCCTTTATGAGATACGCTTACGGCGGCATTTAATGTGGTGTCAGTGACGGTATGGTTGGTACAAATGCCTCTTCGCTTATCGTACACGCCCGCATGCCCACTGTCGAGAGACGTTACCGCCCATGCCTAGCCCATCGTCCATTGGGTCGGCCCATCTCTTGATTTAGCCTCCATTGGGCTTTCCTTTCTATGGGCCGTCGCTGACTAAGTAGGCCTTGATTTAGGCAGCGATCCCCTACGGCCCAACAGAATCGATAGCCTGACCCTTTTTTGACAAACTTATAATCTTACAACTGCGGGAGATTTGGTCTTGCCTCACTACATGGAAGTTTTCTATGGGGTTTCTGGGTTTCTCACTGGTCACTGCATCATCTTATGGAGCTCTGACTGGTAAAAGGTGAGTAAACTCATTAGCAGTCAGATATATATATTACTTAACCATGAAAGTTCACAGTGATTATCTGTCCTATTCCCTGTTCTCCACGATATACTCCAGACTGGACTCCAAACTTCCATCAATTTTGTCGTGGGTGTCCATGCCAAGCAGAACATTGGAGGATGCAAAGATAGATCGATCACTTGGATATCTTCATCCTTCCAGCTACCAAGCGAAAGAAGATGGTGGATCACTTGACCTCTTTACATGCTTGTTCGTGCTTTTGCTGGAGAGTTTGCCATTCCCATTTTTAATTTATTGCGAGCCGGTTGTGACCTAACAACAATAGGAATGTAAATTTTGATATTGATCCATTATTCAGGCATGTTCACTTTCATTTCCATTTTTTGTTTTCATTTCAGGAATACGGTAATGAAACAGAAAGAAAAAAAAACATGCTTATTTTTCATTTTGTTTTATGTTCGTTTTCGACTATGGATATAGAAATTGGTAGCTTCTTATTATTTCTACTAGTTTTCAACATCTGTGTTCTCATATTTTCAACAAAAAATAATTTTATTCTTATCACTAAGATGAATAATTTTGTATCCTACTCACAATTATTTTTAATATTTTTATTTTAATATTTTAATATTTCTCTTTTATGTAGTTTTCTCTTTTTATTCGACAAACTTTTCACCGTATACCCATTTGTAACCAAATGAATCAATAATTCATTTCAACTTATGATCTGTTTTCTGTTGCCACAACCACAAGAAATGAAAATGAAAGAGAAATGGAAATGTTAGCATATGGAAGAAATACTCATATCTACCAAAACTCATCTACAAAACTCCAAACTCATGTATACTTCACTCTTACTCTATCCATAATCAATATATTTACTTGGATTTTGTGAAAAACTACACATGGGTGGTTAATTGTCGTCCCCTATGATCAATGAAGCTGAATTATTAGAGAAATTGAGGTTCTCACTTAATTATAAAGTGAGGTTCTCATTTAGCGGTATAAAACGTTTAAACCATGATTAAACAGCGATTTCAACATAAAATATCATATCATTAACTTTTTCGATACAATCTCCTTTACGATTTCAGGTAGGGGTGGCAGTTCGGTTACCGGTTATCGGTTAACCGACCAATTAAACCGATAACCGGCCGGTTATCCACTAACCGATAACCCGAACTTCGGTCGGTTATCGGAAGCTGGACGAAATTGTTTTTGGTATTAAAAGTGGCTCGATTAACCAATAACCGAGAAAGCGAAGCCTATTTCGAGCGGTTTTCTATAGAAAAAGTGGTTATTTCGGCTAACCGATAACCGGCCGATCGATTACCGGTTATAACCGAGCTGCCACCCCTAGTTTCAGGCGTTGGTGCTAAGTCCTCATCCTCGTTTTAGGATTCCAAACCCATAAAGGCATGGAGGCCCGAGAAAGAGAGCCCATGAGTTAAAGGCCCAGTTGTGATAGGAACTGGCAAGAAGTGGCTCTGGGTTTTGCTTGCTTTATCGGTTGCTTGGCTAAATGGGCTTCCAGTTCCATTCCATCCCATGAGAGGCCATGAGCCCATGAGTCCATCTCCCTCGTGGAAGAAGAAAGACAAATAAATATGAAAATAATAATAATTAAAACCTGCAAAATCCAACACAAAACGGAGCCTTTTATTTTTTTTTTGTCAAAGATATTCCCGAAAGGGAACAACTAGATACGAGTTGGAAGCCTTATTAGGCAACCATAATAATACATATAAGAGGAAGGGACGACGGTCGACAAATTGCCGAACCATCGATAAGAGAGCCTTTTTCGCCACGCAACGGGCAGCTCTTTAATACCTATGCGGCATGGGCAGTATCCATGAACAAAACGGAGCCTTCGAACATCCATAAAAGGGCCAGAGCCCAGAGTGAGGGAGAATCAGGAGAGAGAGAGAGAGAGAAACAGAACCCAGAAGAAGAAAAAAGTAAGAAAATTTAATACACAAAAAACGTAACTAAAAAAGAAGTCGATCTGCTCCGTCACCGCCTCCGCCGCCGCCCTCCATTTTCGCCGACGCCTGAGGTCCGTTTTCCTGCTTCTCTTCCCTGCCCACTCCTTCCCCTCTATACCCAATCAAAATTTATGCTTCTTCTTCTCCTCCTCCTCGCCCAACTAGTTTATTTGAACTTATCCTGGTTTCCTTCCTCAATGTCAATCCCTATTTCGCGTCTTCCGTTTATCTACTTCCTTCTCCCGCCCCATGGTTGCTTGCTTGAAGCTGATATTGCCTCTCCAGCTTTGAATTTCTCTCCAGCTCCCTTCTCACTGATTCTTAACGTCATCTATCAGTAGAGCATGCACAAGTTTCTCGTTCGCTTTGTGGCGGCTTTAATGTAAGCCGCCCTCAATTTTGAATGCCGCGCCCTTCTATTTTGTTTACTGAATCGGGTCATAGTAGGAGCCCTATTTCGGCTTCCAATTCGTGCTGCATCCTGATCCTGCCCTTCCTTTTAGCTTTAGCTCAACTGTTTCATTTGCAGTTCTCTATCTGCAATTTGTTAGTTTTGATTGTTGTGGGCATAGTTAAAGTGTCAGACTTTGTGGGTCAAGTTAAATGGGTTTAATATGGTGAATGTTAGTTATGAATTCTTGGCTATGGTTTTGAGTTTTGAACTTTTATCGGGTATTGATGTAGTATCTGTACAAATACAGCTCGAATTTGGATGGTGATGGCTGTTCAAGCACCTGCGAGGTCTGTCATGGATGATATGGATGATGATGATGCCCCTTTAGTTTTTAGAAGGGGTGGGAACTCAGCATCTAGGCAAAGCCAATCGAATGCTGAAGCTAAGAGGACGCCATCTTCATCTCACAATGTCAATGGCCAAAGCTCAAATGGCCAGAGGAATAAAGCTCCAGTTGCTTCTTCCAAGCCACCGCCGGTTAAGTCTCCAATAGGGAGCCCCAGAGCATCAACTTCTTCTATGAAGGCTTCTCCATTGCGGTCTCCTATAACAAATTCTAAATCCCCTATGTCCTCGGAGATTAAGCAAATGCCTAAGCAGAATGCTTCTTCTGCTGTCAAGGTCGAGATTAAGTCTGTCAAATCTGAGAAGAAGTCCCAGGTAGATGATGAGGATTCTGAGGATGACAAGCCCTTGAGTTCCAGATTGAAGGGAGCTGCCAACAATGTTAAGAAAGAAGTTGGTGGTCCCAGTCATGTGAAAAAGGAGGACTCTGATGATGATGACGATGATCTCCCTTTGGCTTCAAGGATGTCAACTAAACCTAATCATTTGAGTGAAAAGAAACCTCTAGCCTCAAAACTTCAGCAGAATGGCAGCTCAACTTCTAATACGAACAAGATGAAAACTTCTGTTGTGCCAAACAAGAGACCTATGGAGAAGAGCAATTCTTCGGATCAATCCTCTGCTAAAAAGCAAAAGCTTTCTGTTCCATCTTCCACCACAAAAGCCAAACCTGCAGCAGTTAAAGCAGAGGAGAAGGCTGATGATGATGATGATGATATCCCAATCTCCCAGAGGATCAAGAAGGCAACAGTGTCTGCAAGAAAACCATCGTCTGCAAACACAAAAGCAACAAAAGTGGTCTCTTCTTCTTTCAAGAAGGCCAACATGAAGAACACAAAACAAATGAAAAAGTCCAAGTTTTCCAAGTCAACAAAAGTCCAACCTGGCTCTACTGATGGCCAGAGAAAATGGACTACCTTGGTTCACAGTGGTGTAATTTTTCCTCCTCCATACCAGCCTCATGGAGTTAAGATACTGTACAAGGGGAAGCCAATTGATTTGACTCCCGAACAAGAAGAGGTGCCTCTCACTTTATGTCTACATCTCGGTATAAATTTTGAGCTGTTGCCTTAATTTATAGAGTGTGTACTTTTAGTTTCACATTGAACTTTCATATGTGCAGGTTGCCACTATGTATGCCGTGATGAAAGATACTGACTATATGCAAAAGCCAAAGTTCCTTGAGAATTTCTGGAATGATTGGCGCAGGATACTCGGGAGGAATCATGTAATACAGAAGTTGGATGATTGTGATTTTACACCAATATATGAATGGCATCAGCAGGAGAAAGAGAAGAAGAAACAAATGAGTACAGAAGTAAGTTGTTTGGTTTTCAAACATTCTATCTATAGTTACAGAATCATCTGAAGCACATGGACATTCTGACATCGAGATTTCTAGCATTCTAATTATGGTGTGTGGGATGAGAAATCTTCTTCCTTTTTGTTCATTCAGAACCAAATTTGTAGGGCCCATTTTAGTTTTCCTCTGCTTGCTGCTTTCCACAAACAAGCAGGGATTTTAGTGGGTTGCTAATTCATCATGTGAAGTACCCAACTTCACTTTTCCTCAATGTCAATGAGACACGGAATTGTGATTTCCTTTAGTTCTTGCATAGGAATCTAGCTTTCTTCTAGGACATTGAGTTGCTTTTCGTCTTACGTTATGGTCATTTTGATGTTTAGTTTTAACTTCAGTAGCCCACTTCTGCCAGGTCCTTTGAATAATGTTAAGACTTTCCTTTGTGTTACCAGAAATGCTGAAAAGTTTTGCTGTTTGTATAGGAGAAGAAGGCAATCAAAGAACAAAAAATGCAGCAAGAAGAGAAGTATATGTGGGCTATAGTGGATGGCGTTAAGGAAAAAGTAAAATTTTCTCGCAAACTTAGTTGCTGGTGTCTTAATATGTGTTTTCCAATTCCTCCATTTACTCCATGATTCTGATGATTGCGGAATCACAGGTTGGGAACTTTAGAGTTGAGCCCCCTGGGTTGTTTCGAGGCCGTGGAGAACATCCGAAGGTTATTTGTTGATACCTATAAATTGAATTTAGATTCGGAGTGACATTACTATATTTCTGTTGTTGTAAATGTATATTTATTTCAAATCCATGCTGGAATTGTCAGATGGGAAAGCTGAAGAGACGGATTCGTCCTAGAGATATCACCATAAACATAGGGAAGGATGCTCCTGTTCCAGAATGTCCAATTGCTGGTGAAAGGTTTGCTTCTCTTATAGTCTTTTACAAGCTGGGTTTTCTTGTGGGTTGGATGGGCATGTTCACACTTTTCAGTTTGTGCTGAAGTATGAGCTCATTTTGTTAACTTATAACTGGCAGCTGGAAAGAGATAAAACATGATAGCACAGTTACATGGTTGGCTTTCTGGAATGATCCTATCAACCCCAAAGAATTCAAGTATGTGTTCTTGGCAGCCAGCAGTTCATTAAAAGGACAAAGTGACAAGGAGAAATATGAAAAAGCTAGGATGCTGAAGGTGTGGTCATAATCATCATATATTATTCACTTGTTTGCTTCTTACAATCGTAAGTTATGTGAAGCAATGAGTCTTTGCGATATCTTGTTGCACTTGCAGGACTACATACACAACATCAGGGCAGCTTACACAAAGGATTTCAATAACAAGGACAAGGATCCTACAAAACGGCAAATAGCAGTTGCTACATATCTTATTGATAAGCTAGCTCTAAGGGCCGGTAATGAGAAGGTAAATTGAGTTCCTTTCTTTCTAAACATCCTCATCTACTTCTTTCTTTGTTTTCCCCCTTAATTTCCTTTATACCAGGTACAGGTTCTGGAATCTAAATAAGCCATCAGTTATGGTGTGTAATGTGACCAATCTACACAAATGCTACTTGCTTTGTTTCTGCTGCCATTCATCAGCCTAAATGCATGTTATGGGAAGATTGATGATTTTGCGACGAGGGTTTCAATGGGGCCCTTAAAAAGGCTGCAATTACCATACAGATGCTGCAAATGGCCATGTGGATCCTGACTATCTCATGCTTAGAGTCTAGAGTGATAAATCAGATACTGTTCAATGACCTGTGGCTGTGTACTTTGATGTTCTTTGTACTCTTGGCTGAATAAGTGCCCTGGGAGTTGCCTTTCCTTTATTATCTTGTTCCCTAATATTACCGCCTTTTGTTTCTGCACGTCACCTTTAAGAATGATGTCCTGCTGCTGTATCGTTTAGTTGGGTGCTCCGATATTGTAGTACCTTGATCTGTCCTTTACCTTAATAGCTTTTAAATACCATCTCTGTTGGAAATTTAGAGTGACTTTATGCCCTATGACTGATTTTCTGCAGGATGAGGAAGAAGCTGATACTGTTGGTTGCTGTACATTAAAAGTATCGAACGTGGAGTGCATCCCTCCCAACATGATAAAGGTGTGGCAGTTAATATAAGAGTTTATTGCTATGCTTTATATTTTGATTTTTGAGCTGAGCTGAGTTGAAAGAAATGCACGAATCTACGCAAAAAAATAAGAAATAAAACAATAAATGATGTTGTTTTCCCTATCCGTGCGAGAAGCCAAGGTCATATCTTTTCAGTATTCCAAGCACGCAGCAAATCCGATTTCCTGCGAATGATTTGTTTTGTTTTATGTTTGCGTGATCCCCACTATGTGATGTCAATTTCATGTGCCCCTTTTTAGCTAGTAGTAATCCTGACATGGGTTTTGTTCTATCTTCTTACGTAGTTTGACTTTCTTGGTAAAGATTCAATTCGTTATGAGAACACGGTTGAAGTTGAGCTTCCTGTGTTCAAAGCAATTGGGCAGTTCCAAGCTGGTAAGAATGTAGTTGTCCAGTTTAACTCTAATTAAATGGAATATTATTATTTTTTTTGAAGGGAATATCATTTTGTGTTAATGACATTTCTCATTCCTTAACCTCAGGAAAAGGGGAAAATGAGCTCCTTTTTAACGCGCTGGATACAAGTAAACTGAATGCCCACTTGAAGGAACTCATGCCTGGGCTTACAGCGAAAGTTTTCCGTACCTATAATGCTTCAATAACATTGGATCAACAAGTAAGTTGCATTACAAATTATGTAATATCTTATTTATAGATCTCTTGAGCCTCTATTACTATTTTGATTGTTGCGACAGCAGCTTATGCTATCGGGCTGGTTTTGGACATTGATTACTGTAGCTTAGTGGTTATTGTTATGCATATCTTATGGCACTCTCAAAGATATAATTCTGCACTGATGAAGTTTTTCCAACTACATCAGATGTTTTTATACAATCACTGATTTGATTTTTTCCCTGGGTATTCTAATCACTTGGCAGTTGTACGAGGAAACAGAAGAGGGTGATGTTGCAGAGAAGGTTGTTGTTTATCAAAAAGCAAACAAGCAGGTAATGGAGTTTGGAATCATCTGTAGTTGTGTTCAGTTATCCCAATTGTTTTTCTGTAATTCCTCTATCTTCCTGCAGGTTGCAATCATCTGTAATCATCAGCGTACAGTCTCAAAGACTCATGATTCCCAAATCTTGAGGTTGACTGAGAGGATTGAGACTGCTAAGGTAGTTCATTCTTGTGGAGACCCAGCTGACAAAAAAAAAACATTTAAGCTTCTTGGCTGACATTTGACAACACACCCTGTATATGTTATGGAGGGTTCATTAGTTGTAAGCATTGGTTTCTATCTCCTGTTTTTGTCTTGGTCAGCTGATTTCACAATGATGACTTTGCAGCAAGAACTCAAAGAGCTGAAAATTGATTTGGAGAGGGCCAAGAAGGGAAAGCCACCTCTTAAGGGTGCAGATGGAAAGCAAAAAAGGAACTTGAGTCCAGAAGCGTAATTATCAGTCATCCATTGATTGTCTTCACTGTTTGTTGAGATGTTTTTATGATGGGCTAACTTACACTTTGGTGTGTGGCAGCATAGAGAAAAAGATAGCATCCGCCAAGCAAAAGATTGAGAAGTACGAAATGGACATGACGACAAAGGAGGATCTGAAAACAGTGGCACTCGGCACCTCTAAGATCAACTACCTGGATCCTAGGATCACAGTCGCCTGGTGCAAAAGGCATGAAGTTCCCATCGAGAAGGTAAATTCTTAAACCTGACCCTGACCCTGAACAGTGAAAGGTTGAAGGTCAACAGTCTTTTGTGTGTGTGTGTGTGTGTGAATGAGAATGTGATGAAGCTTCTTCGCCATTACTGCAGATATTCAACAAGTCGCTTCTGGCAAAGTTTGCCTGGGCAATGGACGTTGATCCCGAGTTCAGATTCTGATAGAAGGGAAAATCTGGGAAGTGGTGCTCACACAACACAACCCTCCCACTTGGAAGGAAAAAAAAGGGTAGCATAATATGGCAAAATTACCAAGAAAATACGGAGAAGAAGAGAAAGGACCAATCAATCCAGCTTCTTTTAATGATCCATTACATCTTTTTGATTCACATTTTTTTATAATCAATTTTTTTCTTCTCTTTTTTTGGGTCTTCCACATTTAACTCTGAGCTGCTGGGAAAGTCGATGTTGTATGTTCAATGATCTAATCTAATCATCCAATACGGCTGTATTTGCTGCCACTGGCCCCATCTTGCTTCTCTGTTCATCACCAATTCCATCAATTGGATGCCTGTTTTGTAGCAGTAAGTAACCCTTTATTCTTCCAGAGTATGATGGAAGGAACAGCCGTGTTGCCTATGTTAGGAAGGCAGGACTATGAAATAGGAGCTGCTAGACACTGATGAATGTTTGATTATGTAATTTTATGAGGAATTGTTATCATTGTATTTGTCTCAGATCAGATGTACTAAAGACTTGTAGCCAGGGGCCCAGGAAATCTGTTGCTGCCACTTTTGGTTTTCTCCATTCTTATCAATAGAGCACTCTTACCATATAGGAAGTCAAAGAACTGAAAGTAACCTAGTATGACAATCAAATCCTACCAAACTAGCATGATACTTTGGAGTGCCCTTTCTTGTCACCAGATGGACAAATCTATGGTGCTAACTGCTATGCCCAACCTAAACAACGAAAATGATGGTAAATGAGTTAACATGATGCATAGGGATGTCATTTCTTGTCACCAAATGGACATGGCTATGCACGAGATGCTACCTAAACTCCGGATAGTGGAGCATAATGAAAAGTCAACTTTCTCTCCCCCTATCCCTTCCCTCTCACCCTTCCCTGCAACTCTTTCCAGATCTCCGACTGAGATCGAATCTAGCTGCCGTCTGCGGAGCACTCACAGTTACCCAATCAAAGCGCAACAATAAAGGCAGAAGGATCAAGATAGATTTTGGAACGTTTAATGCAGAGCTCTACAATGGAGGGGATCACCATCGCACAGCCTCCGATACCACCAGTAAGGAGGAACGGGAGTCAGACTTAAAGAGCAGGGCAGTCATTACTCCGCCGCCCAAACCACCTGATGTGAGCTTGATTGATGGCCTGGGAGGGGAAGATAGAAAGAAAAGAGATCCAGAAGGATGTAAAGAGGGGAAGACAGAGGAAGAGAGAATTAATACGGGACAGGGGAGAAAATCTCCTGGAACCAGAGGTCTACAGATCATTTATGATCCGAGAGTCACCGGAGTGGAGATACGGGGAAACGAGCCGGCAATCATAGGGAGCGGCAACACATGCAAACTGGAAGGAAGAGCAACTAAAGAAAGGGAAGGAGGGAGTAAATGCGCTGACTCCTTCTGCAGACAGATAACCCCACGGAAAAGAAAAGGAAGGCCATTGGGAAGCAGGAACGAACATTTAAGAGCAGGCAGAAACCACCTCAAATGGCCTCTAAATGGAAGACCGACAAAAGGGAAGATCAGAAGTATGCAGCTGACTACCCCATTAATGCCGGGGACATTTATTCCTCAAGAGAGAATCAAAGAGCACCTGGATCAGCACAACCTCGCCTATTTAAGAGGAGGATCGGTCGAGCTGGTTTATCACACTCTTCCACAACACACAACAATCGATCGAAATCCTATTCACTCCCAGAAAAAACCCAAACCAATATACATCCTCAGCCGAAAAATCCACACCAAACCCACCACCATGGAAATGCAAGCAAGGAGCCTACGGGGTGAAAGAAGCCATCTGGTGCTCAACGTCCGACCAACAGTGGTGGGAGCGAGGGGCAGTGGAATGGCAATGCTACTAGTAAGATGGGTAACAGACTCAAGCATCAATCTCCAAAAGGCAAAGAATGCAGCGATGCAGAAATGGAGGGCATATGGCGAGGTCCATGCAACAAAAGAAGCTGAAAATCTGTTCGTCTACTCCTTCCAGTCGACGCAACAACGTGATGCAGTCTGGGATGCCAGGCCTTGGAACTTAAGCAACACACTGATAGCCCTCAAGAAGTGGGATGGTGAACAGAAAGCCGAGATTGAAGACATACCCACAGTCACCCTGTGGGTACAAATGCACGATCTCCCCCAATCTTTGAAAGATGAAGAAGCAATCCAGGCGGTGGCTTCATTCATATTCCCTCACTACCATGCCATAGACCAATCAAACTTCGAGTTCAGAGGTTGGCTGAAGTTCATCCGAGCCAAAGTGGAAGTTAGTCTTGAGGAGCCAATCCCCATAGGGTTTGAATACCCAAGCGGGGAGAGATCAACTTGGGTCAGCTTTAAATATGAACGGATCATGGATCTGTGTTATTTTTGCGGGAAGCTCGGCCATCTGATCCATAATTGCAGGGAGCGCGAAGAAAACAGAAGGAAGGGACTCAGCACTGAGCCGTCGGAAGTTTACACGGATGCACTCAAAGCGGGTCATGATTCTCCGGCGAACACCCCGCCGGCATCTTTTAGGGAAAAGCTGGCGAATATGCGCCGCCTGACAAACAACGGCTCTGGACAGCTGCAGACCAGAGGAGCCAGAAGGGAATCGTCCATACTCACACTGATGGGCCACCCGGTTCCTGGATCGGTGACAGGGACATTGTCAAACCCCCTGGGTTCGCAGCCTTACCCATGCCGGCGCAGAACTCTGACTGGATTTACAGGGGTGATACTGGATCGTCATCGGGCCAACCAAATCGACTGGAAAGAGAAATGGACGCGGCGGCCAGGGCAATGCAGAGGGGGCTGGATCTCAGAGAGGGTGAGAAGAGCAGGGAAGTGAATGCAGGGCTCCTTGAGATGGGCCTCGGCCTGTCTCTAGGAAGCCCAACCTATTCATGGGCGGCCCCAACCCCAGCCCCAGCCACTATCAACGAACAGGCCCAGACCACGGTCAATATGCAAGCATCAGCCGTCCCAGTTTCGGCCCAGATCAGTAACCCGCTAGTGGAAGCAGGCTTGGCCCATAACACAGAGGAGGAAAGGCAGAGGCCCAAGAAGAAGAGGAAACCAGAGCATAGGAGCCCAAGCAATTTCTCTCTGCCCCAGCAGGACCTGACCACTAACCTATCTTTTGACTCTCTTTCTTTTGCTTCAGGGGATAACAGAAAGACATATCAGAGGAGAAGGAACTTGATCAGAAGGAGAAATCTGACAGAGATCACAGCAGAAGGGAACCAGTCCGGAGAGGGAGAATCAGCCACTCCGAGGGCATCGGCGGCAGGCCTCAAGCCGCCAAACAACGAATGAGAATCTTGAGCTGGAATTGTAGGGGATTTGGCCAATCCCTTACAAGGAGCTACTGCGGCAGTCTTTGTCGCCGATATGGCCCCTCAATTCTCTTTCTTATGGAGACCAGAAAAGATGAAGAATTCATGGAAGGGAAGAGAAGAGCTTTGAGGTTTGATCATGGTGTTTATGTCAATCCAGCAAATGAAGGAAGTGGGTTAGCAGTCTGGTGGAATGATGATGTTGAAGTTGAAGTTATTGATAAGTGTAAGTCCTTTATGGACATTAGGATTAGCCAGAATGAAATCAGTTTTTTTTGTACCTTGGTCCATGCTCCTGCCACGGCGGTAGAGAGAAGGATCTTTTGGGATAGACTCACGGCATTGAGGGAGACTCAAGACGAGTCCTGGCTCATTGTCGGTGACTTGAATGTGGCGTTATCGCCTTGTGAAAAACAGGGGCGATGCCCCCTGCGTAATGAGAGTGTTCTACCCTTCAAGTATTTCATGGATAGCAATGGATTGATTGATCTCGGGTACTCAGGGGAGGTTTTTACATGGTCCAATAATCAGCAGGGGAATGATCTAATCAGGGAAAGGCTCGACAGAGCCCTGTGCAATGCCAGCTGGCTGAGATGTTTTGATAGAGCCAGAGTCTTCCATGAAGACTTCGTGGAATCAGACCACTGCCCAATCAGGGTGGATCTTCACCATCACCAACCCTCATCATGTACACCATTCCGATTTGACAAAAGATGGAAGGAGAATAGTGAATGCAAACAAATCATTATTGATAAGTGGGGATCCGAGGGCAAAGTTCATGGTATCTTGAAGGAGGTTCAAAGAAGCGTTTCTGAATGGGCAAAGCTTGACAGGTTACAGAAACAGAAGAAGGAGAAAGAGATCAGAATGAGGTTACAGGAACTGCAAGGGCCTATCAGGACGCAGGAAATGGTACATGAGGAAAGGGGACTTCTTCAGGAACTTGAGAAGTGGTGGACATCAGAGGAATCTTTCTGGGCACAGAGGTCTAGGAATGGGTGGCTGCGGGAGGGAGACCAGAACACAGGGTACTTCCATGCCACTACCATCCGAAGACAACACAAGAACAGAATCATCAAATTAAGAGACGCCACTGGTAATTGGATTGATAATCCTGCTGCATTGGATGAGCACGCTAACGGCTTCTACAAGGAACTGTTTCACAGTCGAGAAGGAGGCCTCGATAGCTCCCTGCTGGCAGGCTTCCCTGCCCTGGTCACAGAGGAGGCTAACAATCTATTGTCGGCCGACGTCACAAGAGAGGAGATCCGAAAGGCGGTCTTCCAACTCGGAGCTAATAAGGCCCCGGGCCCCGACGGATTCCCTGGCCACTTCTTTCGGACTTATTGGCCTTACCTTGGGGATACCCTTTGCAAGGAGGTCATTGATTTTTTCAAGACAGGAGTTATGGCTGAGGGATGGAACGACACTTATATCACTCTGATCCCCAAGGTGGATCAACCAGAGATGATTAGCCAATTCAGACCTATCAGCTGCTGTAATTTTCGGTACAAAGTGATCACAAAGATCATGACTTTTAGACTCCAACCTTGGCTTCCATCCCTTGTAAATTAGTTACAATCTGCCTTCACAGGGGGAAGGAAAATCCAAGACAACATCATTATTGTACACGAAGTACTCAATCAGTTTAAAAAGAACAAGACGAAGAATACCAAAGACATGATGATGAAGCTCGACATGAGAAAGGCATACGACCTGGTGGAATGGGATTCTCTCATCAATCTCCTCAAGGCCTACGGTTTCAGCGACACCTGGTGTGGATGGGTCAGGGCCTGTATCTCAACAGTTAAGTTCAGGCTCCTCTTCAATGGAGCCCCATCTCCCGAGTTCATACCTTCTCGAGGCATCCGGCAAGGGGACCCCCTCTCCCCCCTGCTTTTTATCCTGATGTCAAATGCACTTTCTTTCCTCATTGAAAAAGCGACTCAGGGCCAGATCATCAAGGGTATTAAGCTGAACAGAGAATGCCCTATCCTCACCCACTGTCTATTCGCGGATGATACTGTTGTTTTTGGTAAAGCGTCAACAAGTGAGGCAGAACACATTCTGAGACTCCTCAATGATTATGGTTCTCTGACAGGTCAGGAGGTGAACAGGGATAAATCTTCCTTGTTTTTCAGTGCTAATGTCCCTCAGGCCGAAC